TGGACATGTAAAATTTTTAATTTTTAAACACAAAAATTTTTTTTTTTTTTTTTTTTTTTTTTTTACAAAAAAGCTGCTCTAAATAATCTGATGTATAGTAAAGTTTATGTATAAGAGCACATTTCTGATGGTTATAGAGGCACTAAATGGTGTCATGTTTCTTTAAAGAAGTGGCAAACAGAGGTGAACGGACTCAAACGCTGACACACAAACAGGCAGGATGGCAGGTAAAGTGCAGCAGTTAATTACCAAGACTAATAGACCGGGCTTACTGCGATGCAGGCAACAAATCACAGTAGGGAGAACCATAAACAAAGTCAGAGTTGAAGTCCAGATCAAAAACATGAAATCAGTCTGAGCCCAAAGGGGAAATAACAAAAGGCAAAAACCAAGCAGAGTCCAACAATGGGGAAAGAACCCCAAAACACAGGGAAATACAAGGGATACTCAGAACAGTTGCTGAAATGTTTACGCTACAGGGAGCACACAAGCCAATCACAGATATTGAACAAGTATATTTAAGAATGTCCAGAGTAATAACAAAGGCTATGAACAATTTATATCATTTGATATTTTTCCGATAACATTTTGACTGAATTTCAATTCCAAGCCAGGAATGCAAATATATTGCAGTCTCTCTTTGGAACAGTGTCAGTGCATGATCTGGAGCTTTCATTCATATGATATGAGCAGAAGAAGTTGGCTCCGTTTTCAGTGTAGAAAAAGTTCAAATTTCCATTTTTTCTGACTTGTTTAAGGACTTCTAATTTATGGCTACTGTCAAAGGCTTAACACAAAACCCCAAGCTGTTGCAGTTACACAGTTGGCACTACTACACCAGAGAGATTTGAGAGTCACTGGTTAAACATCAACTATGTGCCATTTTTAGGTGTGAATCCCACTCTGCAGCACTGCTCAATGTGAAGAAGAATTCTCCTGTGATAAGACAACTTGGTTTCAAACTTCTCATCGGCCTCTAGACAAGGAGGCAAAAAGCACCCAACCCCCCGCCAAAACGTCCATCTATTTTTAAGCCAAACTATACCCATTTACGTCTCAGCACATATTTACCCAAGACTGTTGACAAGTTCGCGCTCTTTTCTCCACAATCACAAACATAATTGTTGGAACAAAAAAAATAAAAAATAAACACATTCTTCCTATGATCTGAAAAATTCCAACAAGAAACAAATCGAGGGAGAGGAAACTTAAATTCATCCTTTTCCTCCAGAAATCTGCTCAAAGGAAGACGACACATTATAACAAAGATGCAGCGATAATGTAACAACCGGTACAACTCTACTGCCTTGCAGCTCTGCCTATGTACATAACTACACGGTGATAAGAGATGAGGAATCACCAGGGGTTCCCGTCGCTCAATAAAAGTTCACCGCAAGGAAGCGGCTTGAAAGCAGGCCATGTCAAAAGATAAGCAATCAGGGATTCACCAGCTTTTTGTTCACAAACTCTAAGAGACCTACGCCCACCAACAGCCTTGAAGCATCTACTTGGCAGCCATAGAAACGATCTGTGAAATCAACACCAACCTTTTAACTCATTCATAAGTATGATCAGTTCTGCTTTCACAGAGGGGAAGGGTGATTATATAGAAAGGGGGAAGAGTAGATCTTGCATCTCGTTCTCACACATTTATAAATTGCTTATCTGATCTGCAAGTGCCCCCTTTTTTAGAAAGCCGTCATGATGCAGACTTCCATTTTTCTAGAAAGGCAAGTGTGAAGTCTCTCTGTGACTAAAGGCAAGCATGTCATTACTATGCCATTCATGTGCATATAATAAAACAGAACAAACTGCACGTGTGGAAGAAATTTCATCTGAATAAATGTCAACCAACTATGAAACGGCATGTGGACAGTGTCCTTTGTTGTGAGGTTTACCCTATTTAACATTATCCTACAAAAGGTAATGAGCCCTCTCTTTGATATAAAATAACTGACAGCCAAGAACAACAGCACAGACGACAACCCCGCAGGCCAGTGGGAAATGCTATGATTGGCTTTCTCGCCGAGCATTAGACAAGAAGACAGACACCGCTCTCTTGTGTGGACAGTAAACATAAAGACAATTAGCTTAGCTGGGCATAAAGACTGGAAACAGGGGTAAACAGCCAGCCTTGCTCCCTCAGACACACAACTGTAAAACTGCAACTTGTTGCTTTTACACTTAGGTTTGTTTTTTTGTTTTTTAAATAAACAAACAAGACAAAGGTAATTAGTGAGCTTTAGAGGTACTAGTACTTGTTACTTCAGTACCAGTGACCAAGATTCGCCCTGCTTCCAGCCTTCTAGCTAAGCTAACCAGCCTCTGGCTGAAGCGTCACACACGGTGCACAGACATGAGTGGTATCGATCTTCTCCAGTTTAAACTCTCGGCAAAACAGCAAATGAGCGTATTTCCCAAATGTTGGGAACAATTCCTTTAAGAGCAACTTCTGCATTCCCAGAGTTACTCTCAAACATGTCTAAGTCCTAGCATTAACAAGCTCCCTACTCTTTGTAGCAGCCATATGAAAACAGTTTAACGGCCAAAAGCTCCTTGTTCCCCACATCATAATTGCGTTCGGCCGGGGTCAACCGTTGGGAATAGTAGGCACAGGGATGAAGGGCGTGGTCTTCCCCTGACCGCTGCAAAAGGACCCCTCCCGCCCCAGTGTCGCACGCGTCCACCTCTACCACGAACTGCCGTGAGGGGTCA